AACACAGAGTATGTTTGACTGAAAAAAAAACGCTACATATCATCCATAGCTTTTGGAAACATATCATTTAAAATATGCGCGTTGGGGAAGATTAAATACGTCGTATTGTCACCGTATTGTTGTTGAATAAACGCTACCTTTCATATTGTTTTCGGGATCATATAAGCTAAAGGAAGAGGTTCTCCCTCCGTTCGCTTAAAGTGTGCGTAGAGAAAGATTAAACGCGTCGTATATTTGTTGAATAAACGCTACCTTTCATATTGTTTTCGTGAACATATAAGCTAAAGGGGGGAGGTTCTCCTTCCGTTCGCTTAAAGCGTGCGTAGAAAAAGATTAAACGCGTCGTATATTTAAATTTTGTTGAATAAACGTTACCTTTCATATAGTTTTTGTGAACATATAAGCTAAAGGGAGGAGGTACCTCCCCGTTCACTTAGAATACCCGTAGGGAAAGATTAAACACGTCGTATGTTTGTTGAAAAAACGCTACATATCATCTATAGCTTTTGGAAACATATCACTTAAAATGCACGTTCGAAAAGCTAGATTAAACATGTCGTATTGTCGCTGTATTGTTGTTGAATAAACGCTACCTTTCATATTGTTTTCGGGAACATATAAGCTAAAGGGGGAGGTTCTCCCCCCGTTCGCTTAAAGCGTGCGTAGAGAAAGATTAAACGTGTCGTATATTTGTTGAATAAACGCTACCTTTCATATAACGTTTGGGAAGTCAACATATCAGCTAAAGAGGGAAAGTCTGACCACCGTACACTGAAAGTGTGCGGAGAGGAAGATTAAACACGTCATATGTTTGTTGGTAAGCCATAAAAACACAACGCGAAAAACTTTTTGTATTTGCGTGCACCGAGGTCTGCTACAATTCATGTCAGGCGTTGAAAGGAAACAGAGTTCTAGGCACAGGCTCTCGATGATTTATGTGGCGTCTTTTCCTCCTTGCTTTAAATTGTGCGTAGAAAAAAATCAAAAATATACCTGATTGATTTAATCATGTTTCAAATTTGACTTAAATAAGTTTTGAAACAGAAATACAAAACATTTCCTATACCTTTCTGGGACATATAAGTTTAACATGTTTGTCGGAACTGAATATTTCAGTATCTGTAAACCGTGCGTAAAGAAACATGCCGTAATACGTTACATTTACAAATGCGAAAATCCTTCGTAAAGATTAGATTTCTTTTTCAGTACACTTTAATCGATCTTAAAGTCTGCTTAAATATTTCCCTGTCTTTAAAGTCTCAATACGGATGTCGTAAATTTTGCTTAAATATCTGTTTTCGTGCTGTGCTTGTACCTATGGTCCATTCACAGAATCTGATGTAAAAAAGGTGACTTGTACCTACGGTCCATTCTCAGAATCTGATGTAAAAAAAGTGACTTGTACCTATGGTTCATTCTCAGAATCTGATGTAAAAAAGGTGACTTGTACCTACGGTTCATTCTCAGAATCTGATGTAAAAAAAGTGACTTGTACCTATGGTTCATTCTCAGAATCTGATGTAAAAAAGGGTGACTTGTACCTATGGTTCATTTACAGAATCTGATGTAAAAAGGTGACTTGTACCTATGGTTCATTCTCAGAATCTCATGTAAAAAGTGACTTGTACCTGTGGTCCATTCACAGAATCTGACGTAAAAAAAGAGACTCGTACCTATGGTTCATTCTCAGAATCTGATGTAAAAAAGGTGACTTGTACCTTTTTTTATGGTAGACCGAACCAAACAAAAAATAGTAACCCAATGAAGGGCGCACAAAACGATAAATCGTACAAGACGATAAAAATACCGCTCAACCCGGCGAGATCACTGAAACCCCACCAGGTAAGCATACCGGAGTCGTCTGTGTGTACTTAAGGTGTCTTGTACCTATGGTTCATTCACAGAATCTGATGTAAAAAAAAATGTGACTAGTACCTATGGTCCATTCACAGAATCTGACGTAAAAAAGGTGACTTGTAATTATGGTCCATTCTCAGAATCTGATGTAAAAATGGTGACTTGTACCTACGGTTCATTCACAGAATCTGATGTAAAAAAGGTGACTTGTACCTATGGTTCATTCTCAGAATCTGATGTAAAAAGGTGATTTGTACCTGCGGTCCATTCTCAGAATCTGATGTAAAAATGGTGACTTGTACCTATGGTTCATTCACAGAATCTGATGTAAAAAAGGTGACTTGTACCTACGGTCCATTCTCAGAATCTGATGTAAAAATGGTGACTTGTACCTATGGTTCATTCTCAGAATCTGATGTAAAAAATGGTGACTTGTACCTACGGTCCATTCTCAGAATGATGTAAAAAAAGTGACTTGTACTTTCGGTCCATTCTCAGAATCTGATGTAAAAAAAGTGACTTGTACCCACGGGCGGCATTCTCAGAACTTGGTGTAAAAAAGTGACTTGTACCTACGGTGCATTCTCAGAATATGACTTGTACCACTTCTGTGTATGGCCTCCTTCAATCAATATTGACCATGGTAGAATCCTAATTGATAACAGCTTTATTTCTTATTACCCAAAATTGCATTTTTGGTGAAAATTACAAATTTGTGCCTCTTCTATCCACAGCTGAATGAGGGTGGACAAGTGTGGCTACAGTTCAAGGGCAGTGTCTACAGTGACTACACTCTGATCACGTCTTTCACTGGTTTCCTGATTCGGGAAGGACATTAAGCATTGCTGTCCTGTAGCTGTCAGACAGGACTGAGATGGACACATTGCTGTCCTGTGCTGTCAGACAGGACTGAGATGGACACATTATTGTCCTGTAGCTGTCAGACAGGACTGAGATGGACACATTATTGTCCTGTAGCTGTCAGACAGGACTGAGATGGACACATTACTGTCCTGTGCTGTCAGACAGGACTGAGATGGACACATTACTGTCCTGTAACTGTCAGACAGGACTGAGATGGACACATTACTATGCTGTAGCTGTCAGACAGGATTGAGATGGACACATTACTGTCCTGTAGCTGTCAGACAGGACTGAGATGGACACATTACTGTCCTGTAGCTGTCAGACAGGACTGAGATGGACACATTACTGTCCTGTAGCTGTGAGACAGGACTGCTGTCTTGTCATAATTATCTGCATCATTACAAAGATGACAGGACCAGTGCTTTTGAAAAGCATTTTAATACTAGTATATCTTGTACACAACAGACGTGATGTGGAAAATAAAATCTAAAATTTATTACCCTTTCGGAATTGTTTCATTATTTCTTCCCATTAACTTGGGAAATGATCAGATCAATACATACAATGTATTTACAACAAAAGTATGTTTGAAGGATGGATCTGTTGTTACACTGTGTTTAATTCTTCTCCAAAAACTTGTCATCCTTTTTTTTTTAAATCATGGAATACATTTATAAGGCAGACTTCAGAGATCTCATACCTCTGTGAGATATTTAGAGCTTTGTAAATTTCATGTTATCTAGTCTCACTGATTATTTTAATAAGGTTATTAGTATAATCTATTCTAGTTAATTCCTCATAAAATTTAAATTATATTATGCCTGAAAGTCTATTCCTTGGAATTACAGTTTCATATTTTGTCATTAATTTTGCATAATGATGTCTAGTAGTCATCTACATTTACATAATCTATGCATTGTGATTTTCACCTGGGAGTATTTGTTCAATCAACCATGCCATGACCTCTGACGGTCTGACCTCACATAATTAACTTGATGACTGGCTTCTGGACTTGACAATTCAACTTACACAAGACATATAAAATTTCCATTATTTTAACACTGAACCAGGATAGTGAGTGATTTTAACACTGAACAGTTATGGCATTTTCAATTAGTTATTCAAGTCACCAAAATTAGCTTTAGTTAGACAATGATCTAGACAATGAAAGACAAATCATGCAGAAAGGGAATAACTTATATTAACTTGCATAATCAAAGAGAAATGAAATTCTACCATACCAACGTTTAGGACTCAGTCTATTAAATACATATACATTTTATACATGGGAGTGTACAACATGTCATGTGTACATGAAACTGTGATAATTTTCAAAATTTCCACAAATTTAAAGTTTCATCCCATTCACCACCCTCTACAAGGCTCCCACACAGCAACAATGTCCTCTCCTGAATGGACATAGTACCTGGGGTGCATACACGCTGTAGCACAGGCCTGAGGGGAAAAAACAGGAAAATTAAGTTGTGAATTGTGAATGAATCTTGAATGAAGAGTGATTAGGTCATAGGTGTTAGTTTGAAAGATCATCTGTGTTGGTTGAAGTTATTCTGCAACAGGTTTGAACAGTTACTGTAGTTACCAACACTGGCAACACATGAAATTGTACATGTATATTACCCAAATTTTTGACTGTTCAACTCCAGACTTTGTCAATGAATGAGCCATCCACCACTTCTGTGACAGAGACGGGGGGCGCCATAAACTTTCTTCAATTTAATAATGATCCACTGCTCACTAAGTCAAGTGTGTCATCTGCATAACATGACATCACAGAAGCAGTGGATTGCTCATTCCTTTACATTTAGACTGGAGTTGTACAGTCAGCAAGTATGAAATTCCTGCTATTAACCACAAATACACATAGTGACATGAATGCTACTAGAAACATATCCCTCTGGTGAAGGTAATCAGTCCAACTCACATGGTATGGCAGTATTTTTAGCACTGTCCCAATGGGATATTTATCGAAGTCCAGGGTTCCCTCCACAGCATGGACCTTCCCTACTTCCTGGGTCATGGAGGACAACCTACAGTCAAAACAACAATATTGATTTTCTCCTGTTCGCAAAAAAAAAATATCCAAGGAGGCTCTGGCCTGGGTGCCATCCTCCATAGTCCATGGTAGCTAGTGACAATAGCCGGCGGTAACTACAGAGGAGGCACCCAGGCTGCTGAAGCTCCATGGAACTCATAAACTCAGTACAGTGCTGAGTCATAAGTGCCGTGAAGGCTGGCATGTGCTGGCTTGTCGTAAAAGTAGTCTATGTACTAATACTACTGTTGAACCAAAAATTCACAATCATACCAGCTTTGTATTCCAGTGAGTGATTCTGTACTCTGAAGCATTTTTTTTGGCTGGAATTCTTTTATTCGCCTTGTGCACTAATTTGGGGCTCTTCAGAGGATGTCATCCATAAAATTAAGTCAGTGTGGCCTTACACTCAATTCTGACCTGTTCAAATATCAAATTGGGCCAATATGTTTAATGGAACTCAATCCATCCAAAACTAAAGAACAGTGTAATGTACTTTTAAGGAAACTTACCACGCCCCACAAGTCACCCATCCCTTTTCCTTGGAAACTCTACGTATTAAATCAGGGATCAGAGAGATCACATAATAAAAAAATATTATTACAACACAGCAGAATGCCATATTCCGGAGTGCACACAAATCACAGATGTCTGCAAAAGTTTCTCAAAAAGCTGTCAACATTTAACAGTTTGTGAGTTTATAGAAGAGGGTCTGCATGGGGGATCCTGGCAAAATTTAGCAGGGCCAACAACACTTAACTGTAAATTCCATTTTTCCGTCAACTGCAGGAACTTTGTGGAGTGTGATTTTGAAACCAATCCGTCAACCTTGACAGACAAAATTGACAAAAATCTTGGGTAAAAACATCCAAAGGACCACAAACAACCGCTCTTAATCCTCAAAATGAAATATCCAAAATAGCATTTTAAAGGCTTGGAAATCCAATGCCCCAATCATGAACTAAGGCTGACGGAAAAAAATTCAAGCTGGCTAGAACCCTGATGCAGACCCTTGTTGAACTTGAATGTGTGAAGAAAGCTTCTCACTTGAGCTCAGGATGTCCATCGATGATCCCAAACCCAGTGGGGAGCTGCCCAAAACTGTGCAGGCTCAGCGCTGTCCAACCACAGTCCACCAGCATGTGGTTCTTTCCTGGATAATGTCCGATCACCCGAGTCATCACCTGGACAGCAATATCCTCCAGCGTGCAGGAACCAAGTAAGGACTGCTGAACATCTGAAGGGCATGAATTATAATATATAAAGCAGCATTATGTAACATTATGAAGATACAAAAACTCAACTTTCAGGTCATTTGTTTCAGTTAGTTGAATAAATCCAACTACTTAGTATACTGCAAATAAGTGTCATTCAGGAAGTGGAGGTGCCAAAATATGATACCTTACAAAATGTTTTCAAAAGCTGGAAACACTGTCAGCCATGTTTGCTTGCATTCTGGAGTTTGTGGTGGTACCATAAACTGAGTGCACCTTGTGTGGGTTGTTTTGGAGCCAGCATAAATGAATTTTTTGGATTACTTGGTTCCAATCAGAAGATAGTTTGGTAAGACAATGTTACAAGCCTTTCCAATTAAACCATTCATAGAACTTACCGTAGAAGATGTAGTTACCAGGGTGGACCTCTGTCAGTTGACCCATGCTGTCTGCTGGTTGGCTACATGTCGGTGTGGATCCTATACTGACTGTGGGGCACTCTATACCTTCCTGCTTTAGTCTGTCAATCAACAAGACAGCTTACAGTAAGATTGTGACATTCATACATGGAAGCTGCTGTGCTGTCAATCACTACAGGTAAGATGGAAGCTGCTGTGCTGTCAAACACTACAGGTAAGGTGGAAGCTGCTGTGCTGTCAAACACTACAGGTAAGATGGAAGCTGCTGTGCTGTCAAACACTACAGGTAAGGTGGAAGCTGCTGTGCTGTCTATCACTGAGACACAGGTAAGATGGAAGCTGCTGTGCTGTCAATCACTGTAACACAAACAGGTAAGATGAAAGCTGCTGTGCTGTCAATCACTGTAACACAGACAGGTAAGATGAAAGCTGCTGTGCCACTATGACAAGAATTATTATAGAAGTCATTATGACACATACAAGTACGTATAAGATTATTTTGCTCAACATATCATCTTTACTTAGCAAGCTATGTTCAAAGACAAAAGACTAAACATTGTTCTTTACCAGTAGCAAACATTCACAAACTTTACCTGATGTAAACTTAGTAATGGCAAATGACATTGGTGCTAGAACAGATACATCTACATTTTGTAGCATTTTGCATTCCGATATCAAAACAAACTTGTATTTACCTTGCTGCGAAAGTCAGGATGTTTTGAGCAGTGCGGTGGCCGACAGCCTTGACTTCCTGTGGACTGTCTGAGTGGTAGGAGTCTCCACAGTGAGCATACAGGCCTGCAAACTGCACCCCTGGTGTGCTCACTACTGACCTCACCAGCTCAACACCTTCTACTGAGTCATGGCTCACTCCAGCTGTAACAGAAACCCACTTCATTGTTTCATTTCTAGCCTGATAATTAGATCGCCGTAAGCTCAGCGCTATCCCTTCGGTGCCAAGAGCGTTTGGGGCCGCCAACCAGGTCTCAATTACCGCGCTTCGGGGGGTTTTAGGTTTCTTCGCTCACAACAGCTTTGGGTCAGTGGCAACAGAAGACTAAGCGTAATACAGGAAGTCAGCGGATACAGGGAAACTAGCTGGAGATGGTCCGTGGCATAACTCACCTGTGCTTGGTAAACACCGGAGCCGAAAAATTACCACCAAGCCGACCATAGGTTTGGTAGTTCATTTCAGGCTCAACTTACTTATATAATAAAACACAACACAACACATGAACAATTTGTCATCTTTTGATGGACAAAAATTGGCATATAAAGATAATGGAAAGAGATGTCATTAAACTAAGCTTAGTCTACCCTCCTACAAATATGCCCCTTAAAATGCCATTTCAGAGGGTCTAGATTTCAAAATTTCCCTGGGGGAGCATGCTCCAAGACCCCTATAGGTAACATCTTGTGCCTTTGGTGCTTGACTAGTTAAACAAAATTGAGATGACAGAAAAAAGTTTCAAACTTTCCAGAACACTGCCACAGTGTCCATCAAACTTGACTTGTAATGTATATTGCAACGGATACAGATTGAAGATTCTGAGCAAATCATTGTGTTTTTTGTGACCTTCAAGGCCCAGGGACGTCCCTGGGATAGAATGTTAAATTGAGAATATTTGGAAAGAACCATACCCCACCCACATTAAAGAACCCACCACATATTTAAAAAAAAGAGTAGGGGCATGCCCCAGTGTGCAATGGTATGAAATCTACTGTCTAGAAGTTGGTGATTCAATACAAATTACCCAGACAAGAATCCTGGCAAATCCCTGCCTTGCTTTAGCCACATAGTAATTTAGATTCATAACTCCTTATATGTCCAAGCCATTGCAAAGCTGCATTGCACAACAATATATAATTTATAGAAAAATCATGCTTCAGCTCTGATGATGAGGATGACAAACAACAACATTAAAATAAGCACAGCACACGATATTATACCTACCCCTGCCATAGCCACAGTCCACCTTGAGAAATACAGACCACTGTTTCCCTGACAGAGGTGTACTCTTGATGGCGTCAAGTCCAGCTGAACTGTCAATCATCACATGGAACTGTTCCAGCTGTGTTACCAGTCGGGCACATCGCTGTACTTTGTCTTGAGTCAGAGGTGTAGCAAACAGCACATCATCAAAACCAGCACCAGCGTAGAACTCTGCTTCCGCAAGTGTGGAGACCACGATGTGACGTTTTGTACCGTTGGTCATGATTTCTCCAGCTTCACTACAAGTACAACAAGTAGTTTGAAAATTGATTTAGGTCACTGGGTGATTGGATATTCCCAAATTGTTCTACACCAAATATTTGCAATTGTATTCAATCGGTGCACAATATTTGGTACATACGCATGCATGTAATCTACATCTAATATCAATTATATCATATCAATTATATCATATCATATCCAGGGCTTGAAATTCTTTTTTTTTTGGAAATGATGCACACATCCAACCTAAAAAATTTGGTGCACAAAAATTTTTTGGGGTGCACCATATAAAATAGAATAAGTAGAATGTCAGCAAAAACTATTTCTACAGAAAAGTACTACAACTTACAATGACTTTATCATTTTTCTGACACTAAGTTAGATTTAGAATACATTTAACACCTTTACGTAGACCTACAAGCTTAAGTACAAAGCTCAATATCTGGGTGCACTAGTGCACCCACAGAAAAAAATTGTGCACATGCACCCAGTATTTTGAGCCCTGGAATTTGTCATATCCGCATTATTATATCATACCATATCATATCATATCATATCATATATCAATTCATATCATATATCAATTCATATCATACAGAGCTATCTTGCTTTATATATGCATCAGAAAAGTCCTGTGGAATTTGATGACAAACCACAAACTAAAGTAACTGTTGTTGAATCTATTATACAGATTTATTCTAGTTTACATTGTTTTATGAGTCTTCATGTGTGGTCGCAGTGACACCCCCATGTCCTGACATCGCTGGACCATGGTGCTGGCATTTCTCTGGACCTTCCTGATGTCCAGCAGCAGTGCAGGAGTGTCCAGGTCAGGGATCCGTCCTGGGCTGACCGTTGTCATGATGTCTGTGTGTCCAAGCACATACAGAAGATCAGAACTGTGAAATTAATGACAAACACATTGAAGAGGCCTAGGAAAAAATGTTGTGTAATAATACTGTTTCAGTCCTGAAAAGGATTAAAAGGGTCAGTAGGTAGACATTATCTTTTTTTCTTTTTTATATTAGACTAATGTCCTTGATTACATTTTGGCAATCTCTAGTGATCCAACTTGTGATCCAACTTATACAGTACAGTTTAACTTGCACTTATATTTTCAATGTCAATTGTTGGAAAACTAATTGTTTGTATATTACGTCACTCAGGTGTCAGATCATGGAGCTAGAAAAGGTCAATCAGCTCAAAAAATTTATGTCCCTTGCAGGAGTCCACCCCCAAAAAAGGCTAGGGTTGGCAGTTTTAGGGTTGGTCGGGAAACAGGAAACACAATATTTTTTTTCCTAGGCCAGACCAGTGTTCTAGCCAGCATCTGTATTTCCATACTTGACAGAATTTTGTCCCTCATAATGGATAAAAATTTTGCCTGATCCATTATCTTTGATATATACAAAAATCAGGGTGTAATGATAGAAGGATGTGTTATTTAACTAAGCCTAGTTTATCAGCAAAATTTGCCCCTCAAAATAGCATTTCAGAGGGAACTTGACCATGCAATCCTCTTAATCTATTCCATAATTTTCTTAGGTTTGTGAGTAGTAATAAGTTAGATAATACAAAATTATATTCGTATACAAATACAGTACTACATTAATATGAAAGATGAGAAATCACCATAGGGCGAAAACTGTGTTCTGCTATCTTGAGGCGAAGAATGTCCTTGCTTGAGGTCAGTCTTATCAAGACCCACCACCGGGACCATACCAATTATCAAGACAAACCATCTTTACTAGTATGGTAGCAGTGGCCTACTCGTGTTGACGGACATCCTGGCTTTGCGGACACACGGATGCTACTGAGACAATCCTTGGCCTAGATAAACTGCGTAACTAAGAGACGAATCCAGTGACTCTGTAGCCTCCACAGGCCTTTCTACGGCAGTACGTAGAAAGTTCATAGCATACTAACTTTGGCAAAAAGCAGAGCATATTTCTTAAGTAAGTAAAGTACGTAATGTAATTCAGGTTCAGCCGCTGATGATACTTTTACTCGAAGCTGCGACCAGTAAAGGCGGCTAAACTCCCCTGGCAAATATTCTCCCCATAACGTAACTATGTAACGTTTAAGTGTGTTAATATAATTTAATATAGAGACTAGATACTCGCAAGAGAGCTGGGAAGCTCTAGTTGCTTCAGGACTATATAGGCAGATGTACCAAAATATGGCATATAAGGTTAGTTTCACCAAAATCAACCTTCCTGGTTTGACCAGTTCTTACCTGCGCCTCTATACGCACGTGCACGATGTGCTGGTACTTCGGGATACGATCACAACTTCACAACTGCCACTCAAAGTTTTGGAGCAATCACTCAGCTGATCGACAACTTCCGGTTTCCCGGCCCGACCGAAGGTCACTTCAGGTCCCTGGGTCCACGACACCTAGCGACGGTTCATATTCTAACAGGCACAGGAGGCTGGCCGGATTTTTGGCCTGGGTGTCTAAATTTTAGATTCGTGTCATATATCGGAGGTGAAGGCAGAGTGGAGGAACGGAGCGGAGATAAAGCGTTCACGGATGGATTCCAGGCTAATATCGGCAACGTTGCCAGAACTTTCTTTCTAGTGCAGAAGATGCAAATGGTGACCTATTCCAGTTTAGAATGTTTCACAAAATGCGTGACCTATTCCAGATAAAATGTTTTTAAAATGGTGACCTATTCCAGTTAAAAATGTTTTTAAAATATGTAGGTGTGTTTCTCACTTGCTAGCTATAAAGCGTCACCTAGCGCCCAGTTTCAAACTGCAGCATGTCGCACATACACATGCAAGACCCCGTGCCTATAGCTAGGATATTCATTATCATGCCATTTTGAACGCTATCAAACGCCTTGCAAATGTGCAGGCTTGCCTAATTGACATATACGCCCCAAACAATATCTCCGTACGTAGACGTAAAACATATTCTTTACTCTACTGCAAATCAAAGTAAGGCGCTGTACAATAACTATACCCACAGTGAGCTGTGGTCCAATACAAAAAAGTTCTCTCACCTAGAGCTTCCGACCAGTCGCTCTGGTCTTCCTCAGTACGTAGACTGACCCAGTGAAACTTGTCAGGTGGCTTTTTTGAAGTGTGACGTCAACACTGGGTCAAAGGTATCTAGTAGACGATGTCGGCCCCCGTCGCGGTTCAATGAAGGGTGATGGGCTTCCTTCACCCCTCTCAAGAAATAGTCTTGTTCAGTGTCCAAAATCCTTACAGTGTCCAAAATCCTTACTTGTGTTGGACCAAAATTAACTCTAAACATGTAGCTACCAACACTGAACTTTCATGATAGCTACTGGAATACACCCTGCATTGATGAGATAATACCCCAAGGCGCTGTATTTTGGAATAAGATAACTTCTACATAGACCAGGGAACACAAAACCACTTAAATAATTTATCGACAATCGGCGGAGGCAACCCGGCCATGTATATGCTATACTGTATACATGGCCGCGTTTTGTTGTCTCCGCCGATAGTTGCCGATTCATAGTGATTTTTTGTTCCCTGGACCACGTATAAGTTATGTTAAGGTCAAAATACAGCAAAGTGCAATGTTGAAGTATAAAAGAAATTGTAATTTAGGTACATTTCATTTCTCTTCCGTGATCGCGCTAAACAAACATATTGCGTTTAATACGCTACGTAAACAAACATGGCGACTGGCCGGGTTGCCTCCGCCCATTCATTACTAGTATTTAGTGATTCCTTGTTCCCTGGGTTATTTTAAGCCAAAATACAGTGACTTGGGGTATCATCTCATCAATGCAGGGTGTATTCCGGTAGATTTAAGCCTCCTGTATGTGTTTTCCGGTGCTTTCCGGTGTTTTCCGATAAATGGGCAGACCGGATTGAACCCGAGAGTTGTCGCGTGCCGGATCATTCTCACAATCCCAGTGTACTGCGAGTTCAAAACCAGTGTGCTATGATTTTCATTTAATAAGAAGTTTATTGCAAATTCATGCCCGAGGGCTAATTGCAAGAACATGATAACAACAGTAAACAGTAGAATGATAATAAGTGATGCTAATGCTACTTTATATATACATTTGTAGTTACCTTCGCCAAGAAGGTTATGTTTTCAGGGGCGTTCGTGTATGTGTGTGTGTGTGTGTGTGTCTGTCTGTCTGTCTGTCTGTCTGTAAACACGATAACTTCAGAAGGCCTTGATGGATTGTCTTGATACTTGGTAGGTGGGTAGGTCTTGATGAGACCTCAAAATGATTAGATTTTGGACCCCCTAGCGGCTTGTTATGGTACTGCAGCCGAACTTCCGGTTTTGATATCTCATGATCTAGCCATGCTATGGTGATGAAATTTAGATGGTAGGTAGCTCTTGTGCTGGGAAAGAAGTGACGTGAGTTTAGGCCCCCTAGCGGCTTGCTCTGGAACTGCAGGGATAAATTCTTGAAACTATTCAAAAGGGGATAACTCAAGAACCGGTTGACGGATCGTTGTGATTTTTGGTATGTAGGTAGCTTACGTGATGCTTAATATAATTATGTGAAAATTATGCAAATATGGATGTAATTTGCATAATTTATGGGGAAATTCTATAAATCAGCTGCATTCCATGATAGGACAATTGAAGCTTGTGACATTGGTAATTGACAACGAGAGAAACACAGGAAGATGTTGATTATGTTAATGATGACTTAATTTGCATAATTAATGAGAAAATTTTATAATTATGTAATGATAACTGCCTGGAATTTCATACTTGTGGTATTTGAAAGTTAAATTGAGGTGAACATCATTAAACATAATTTATTCAAATCAGGACCTCATTTGCATAATTTATTAGGAAATGCTAGAATGCATTCTTTGTCATAAGACTGTCTTTTGGTTGAGATTATGATAAAATGATATAGTTCATGAAAATTAGGTTCCTATTTCTTAAATCAGGGGGAATAATCTAATCTAAACTTTGTCAGTCATAAAGATTAACATCATTTGGCGAAGGTATGAGATCGGGGAACTCTTGTTATTGTTGGGTTTGATTTCTTTTCCGTGTGCAGTGGAGTATGAAATGGCCGACGTTTGCGAGATATATGAATTGGGGGGTGTTAATAGAAATGCAGTTTTTGTAGGCTGGGAAGGTGAATAAAGCTGGGGAACATTTTGGTGACCATTTCAAATAACTGATCTCTTTCGGTGCTATAATGAGAGCAATGACAAATAATAGTGCATTTCATCCTCCACTGCGTTTCCTGTACAATATTTACATATTCTGTCGTTAACAGGCAATTGTTTGTATCTACCCTTTTTCATTTCTAATGTATGAGCGCTAACTCTAAGCTTACATATGGCAGATCTAACATCGAAGTCTTTGATGTGAAGATAACGTTCCATTGTGTATACAGGTTTCAGATGTCTATAAAATCTTAGCTTACCGACATCAACAGAGAGATTGTAAAGAAAGGTTTGGATATACATGTCAGAGAGTCTACTTCTAAGTAATGTACATATGTGTTGCTTATCGAGATCGGCGTTGTCGTTATGCCAGATATATGAGAAACCACTGCGGTCAAGTATTTCTTTCACATGGTGTAGCACATTTTTCTTGTGACCAAGCATTAACATATGTTTTTGAGATAGTAAAGCGTCGACTTGTAGGGGATGTGTATTAGCGTCTAGTTGCCTCAGTCTTAACCAATACTTGACTAGGCGTACAGATACGTCTGTGTCTAGTGACAGTCTACCGAGCTCTGCTTTGCATGCTCCGTTGCTAGCGTTTCTGTGTACCCCAATAATGTTTTTACAGAAGCGGTTATGGACAGTTTCAATAGGACAGTTGTCATTTGAAAAATCTTTTCCCCAAATTTCACATCCATATAACATTGTTGATTTAATTGTTATTATGTTTACCGAAGGAAACATATTGTATTTGCTCTGTTTCCTCTTCTTCTTCTTCTTCTCCAAACACCCAATAAACATCGATATTTTCGTAATTAGAGCCTGGAGGATAATGAAATTCAACATGCTGGTAGGTTGGTACATAAGACACTAAACCGCGGTCATGTTAGCCAACATAGATGTCAAAAAATGATTTTATTTGGAAAAAAAATGGGTGAAAAAAGTTGCATTTTAAGCCAAAAATCGAACAAAAAGAACCCTTTTGGAACATTCGAACAACCATGGAACAGCGTGTTCGATTACCGCGGGTCAATGACCCCAGCCTACGGAACACCCGAGATTTCCAAATATGGGCATCCGCGAGAAGAGATTGGTGGACCAATGTCAGTGGTAAGTTTTCATTTTTCTTCGTAAAATACGGCCATATGAATACCAGTCTCGAGTAGAGAATATTGCATTGGGATTTTGGGTTCAATATCCACAAGTACTCCTCACTCCTTGTTGATTTAGGCTGGGAGAGACTCTCTGATCGTCGCCATGTTCACTCACTGATCATGATGTACAAAGTAATCCATGGCCATACCCGTCAGTATCTCAGGGACCTGATCTCTCCCGAAGTTTCTTTTTCGACTTCATATGATCTTCGTAACAAATCTAATTTACGGCTACCGCTTTGTCTTACAACTAGGTATAAAAAGTCTTTCATTCCATATGCTATGCATCACTGGAATGGTCTTGATGTAGCTGTTCGATCTCTGAATCTTTCATTGTATAAGAAATACTTAGTAAAGTCAGTACGTTCCCCTTTTTACCGACATTTTAGCATCGGCCCCAGGTACACCTGCGCATTACTCACGCGTCTCCGCATCGGGACCTGTAGTCTTAACCACAGCTTATTCTTAAGAAATTTAGCCCCTAGTGCTGCTTGTATCTGTGGGTCTCGTTGTGAGAGTGTCATACATTTTCTTTTAAACTGCCCTTTATATAATCAACAAAGAGTAACCCTACTCAGCAATCTCCAGAATTTGGTAGGCTTTGATTTTGATGTTTTCAATATGTCTGAACAATTGTTATGTGATATTTTACTTAGAGGATTACCTGATTTATACTATGATACAAACTGTAATATCTTGCTAACCACCCAAACTTATATTGTTGACACCAAACGGTTTGTACTCGATTGATTTATTATATAGCCTACTAAACATTTCTTTGTACTATTTAACGACCCATCCTACCCATTTGCTGTTCTGTTTTTTGTTATGTACTGTAATTGTATTCTATGTTTGGTGGTGAGGCTAAAATTAGCTATAGCTAGAGTACCTCACCACCTTGTCCTGTATTGTCCTTGTTGAATTTGCAAATAAAAAAAATAAAAAAATATCCACAAGTAGGACTGCAGATTTCCACAGAACGCCGGTGACTTTGTTTAACTTTTTGCATGTCACCGCCGGCTCAAATCTAAAAAAAGCTCTAGTAATTTACTAGC